AAGCAGTTGCATGCTTGCAATATGCCCGCAAGCGCTACAAAGCAATTAAAATTTCCCCAATAAACATTTCTAACTGCACTGTGTTCCGTGTAACTATTCCAAAAGTTTGATTGAATATTTCTAGAGCGTTCAGTTTTTTTAATGAAACACGTACGTTGATTCTCAATTTCCAATGCTCATCTGAAGGACCGCTGATATTTTTCAATCACTGGGCTTTCATTATATAAAAATTTTCATTTAAACATATACATGATATTGAATACATTGCAGAGAATATTTTACTGAAATGCAATGCCCCCTCCAAAAATTAATATTAAAATCACTTGTTTGCTTGAATCGCAAGTTAAGCAGGAATTTAAAAGCAAAGACAATACCACAAATATTCACCATTGCTTTATAAGAGAAAACTTTTCGGAGTCCAGCTCCATCGTCAGTTCACAAAATTCAGTTCAGAAGAAGTTCAGATCTAGAAACACAAATACAATCAATTAGTAGAGTAAAATGCACTGTCAGGTTTCAAAACGGAAAATAAATAAATAAGACATGAAATTAACGCTTGTACACTGCCTATCTATTTACTATTTCAAGAGGAATGGAGCTAAAAGCGGCATTCAGACTAGGCTTCTGTTTGAATATATACAGGGATTCTAAAATTCGTAAATCACTAACACCGGATGTGGAAGCAAGAATTTTGAAATCAGAAATGACTATATTGTATTTGTGTTTCTAGGACTGAACTTTTTCTGAACAGAATTTTGTGTTATAAACTGATGATGGAGCTGGACTCCGAAACGTTTCCTCTTATAAAAATTAAGATTTATCAAGAAATTAAGGAAAGAAATACCATTAATATGATCGTAAAAACATAAACAAATATGTTATTAAAGATAGCCTTTCAATTAGAGTAAGAATATCTCAGTGCAAAGATGAGGCAAAAACTCCATGGCGCACAGATTGAGTAAGTTCTATTCGATTACCCATTGATGAATTCAGTCGTGGCTATCGAAGTATTCATTGATGAATTCAGTCGTGGCTATCGAAGTATTCATTGATGAATTCAGTCGTGGCTATCGAAGTATTCAATTAAGAGGCGATATTGTTCAGTTGCCAGCGGCGCATGAATGCTTCATTTACTTCGAAAAAGTTTATAATAGGTTTTGCATTTGAATTGAGGCTCGCAGTCAAACTAGAAATTATGGCTATAGAAATAACTATTAACATGTATAAGTTATCATTTTTAATTTCACAATTTGTAAGCTTTTTCGCGTTTTAACTGTTTATTTATTTTATGGAAATTTGATAACAAATAATTATTGGACGAGAGTAAATTTATCGTTTCAAAATAAATGTCACTGTATCGAACATTTATTAGAAATTTAATTCATTATTTGAATTTAACGGTTTTATAATTTTGACCATGCGGCACAAAGTATGTTGATCGTGTGTTTTTATGGGTTAGTTGCTAGGGTGTGTATCACGTATGGTGGTTTCAGTTGTGTGTTGATCAAGTGCTGTTAATATCGAGTCAATCATTATCATGTTATCTTGAAATATTTTGCCAATGTTTTTAGTTCTTCACCAATTCAAACAATTTACCGTTATTATTTACAATTAATAATTTTTTTAATCCATTCTTTTATTAGTTTAAACCAATAGCACAATTCGTTACTTAGTTAAACATTATCCGCTGTAAGACTTAAATGTTTATATCACATTTGGTTAACACTGGAGCGTGGACCCTAACAAGAATGAATAAATAAATGGATCTTCATGATTAATTTCTCAGAATGGACGTAAAATTAATCAACGGAACCTTTGTATTATTTGAATAGATTGTGGCTGCGGCTTGCGGATTTGTTTTGACAGGAACTACAGAAATCCCCAGTGCCAATTGGTAAGGTTTGAAAATAACTATTATACGAATAGGATGGAAAGTCTTTATTGGGCACCGGGATTTGGAATTGGGGAAATTAAGGCTTCATTGAATGACAGGTCAAGGGTTGGGTCAAATGGTTTGATCAGATAATTTTACTTGAAAAGAGTAGAGGAGTAGAATTGGTAACGTTCATTGGGAGGGGGAAAATTTAAATACATTCCTGGACTGACTTATTAGCAGTGCTCAGATTCATGACGGGATTTATGAGTAATCAAGAGACTTGAAATAGGCAAAACATGTAAAATATGTATTTGGAGATGATTGAGAATTAATCAATAACAAGATCTCCAATCCAGCAAACGCTTGAATCGATTCGGAAGGTTTAAAATAAGTGAAAAAAATATTAATGGAAAACATGACTTGAAGTAAGCCGGTGCTTACTTCTATGAATTGGGATCAAATTAATCGCAGTGCACAGGGTGGAATAATATAATTGGCCAAACTTAGAACAGTGTTCACATGATAACAGGGGCTGCATGGAAGCGGTCATGATGGATAACCTGTTCCGAGTTGGAGGGTGGACAAAAAAATTGATGTTACTGTAAGTTACCAAGTCTGTTGATGATTTCGATCGGGAATCTCCCTCCGCATTTATTTCTGTGTCAGGTTGGTCCATTCAAATATTATTCTCTCTGAGCAATAAACATTTTGTCTGAACATGCAACAGCAGAGCATCGATCTATCCTCGCTATATAAATGAATTAAAAAGAGGGGTTTCCAAACCAATTCTAATTTGGGTTTATTTGTTCCAGCTGGATTCAAATATATTCAAATATATATAATATATTCGAATTATATGTCTTTTCACCTGGTATATTGATGAGTTGAGCATATATGTAAAATTTTTAATTTTCCGGTAATTATTGAGTACGTGTGTGGCTTTTTTTTCGTAATGATTAGCATGCATTTATAATAAATCTACAAATTACTCTGAAAATATTTACGTGATTGCCTCAACTACGACAGGAGAATGATGAGGAATGTTATTTGCATCTCTCAACCTAAAGGGAAATGGCTTTAAACTTTAGTACTGGAGTTAAAGGTTCGATTAAAGTTTCTTAACTTATTGCAATGGATGCGGATTGCGAATAGAAGAATTTGGCTTTGTATGAGTGTTTCACTTGAGATAAAGATAGGTGCGCAGGTCTATCAATAAAAAAAATTACCTTAAATTAAATAGAACATTTCAGAGAGGACGAATTGCTTTTGTTTTACTTCTATTAATTTATTCACAAATTGATTAAGCTATGCCATATTTTCAGGATAATTATTTCCCAATCATCAAACATGCACCGTAGGGGCACCCGCCAGCTGTTATCAAACACGCTCAACATGAACCAGTCATTAAAACGCGCTGTAATTATAAACAGGCCCAATGTTGATGGTTAGTAAATATTAAACGTAAAAAGACTTGACAAGAAACCTGCTATCGACACATTTTCCACAACGCTAGATGCTCGTTAGCGCTAAATTACTTCTAATGCTGTTGACTAAATTTTTCACACCCGCCCGATACCGAGTAAAATCTTTGATGCTATTCGAGACTTTCAAATGTTATTGACTTTGAAGTGGTTACAGAATTTTTAACTTGTTGCAGACATCGAAATATTTGCTGACTTCAAAGACTGTTTACAGAATTTGTAGAGCTTTCGAAAGTTCAATATGTTAATCATGTGTCAGAGAACATAGCATTTAAACAGAATTGTACAATTTACAACTGTATACTGTATCTTCTGTTTATTAAAGATTTTTTACTCTGTCTCAATCGTTCATAAAATCAATGAACTCTACGTAACATATGAACTTCGACTATAATCCAGAAAGCTTTCGCTATCTTATGCATACAAACTATAAGGGACTTAAAAATGCACCTCACGTGCATTTATCCAATAACTCTATTGCAATTAGCGTCCTAAACCAGTTAACAGTTTTTAATGCTTCTTTGTGCAATATATTTATCTGTTCCCGGTTCTAATATCGCTAAATTTTTCCACATTTTACTCTCATCTTTTTTATCATTACTACACTTCTATTTAACTTGTTTTCTTGTTGTTTGTCTGCTACGAATCTTATAATCGATATTTAACAAACTTCTACCTGTCCAATCGAGCTGAAATTTTGCACACTTTCGTACAGTTGGAGTCAATGCATGAATTAATTGACGGAATAAAAAATTAACCTAATAATATACGTTTAAAAATTACTTTTTAAAGACAACACTTCTAAGGAATCCAGTGTCTCCAATGTTAAATATGTAAAATGAATTTCTCATTTTATTTTCTAAAATTGAAAAAAATTAATTTTTCAAAATTTTTAATATATAATTTTTTTTTTCAAAATTGTTTATTCTGTCAATTGATTCATGCATTGCCTCCGATTTCACACAAGTATGCAAAATTTCAGATCTTATTGGACAGGTGGAAGTTTGTTAAATATCGATTATAAGATTTGTAGCTGACAAAATTATTTTGTCAATTTTTTTAATATTGAAAAAAAAATTAATTTTCAAAATTATTTATTCTGTCAATTGATTCATGCATTGGCTCCAACTTTACGCAAGTGTGCAAAATTTCAGATCGATTGGACAGGTAGAAGTGTGTTAAATATCGATTATAAAATTTGTGGCAGACAAACAAACAAACAACAAGAAGTGAAGTTAAAGACAAGTGTTGTAAAAAGTAATTTTTTATTGTTTAATAATTAAAAAAATTTAATATATAAAAATCAAATAAGAAATTCATGGTACATGTTAAACATCAGAGACGCCGGCCTCTGTAGAAAGTGTGGTACATAAAAAGTATTTTAAAACGCATCTTATTTATAATCAGTGCTGTTTCTTACAAGTTTTATTGTAGGGACGATTTGCAAGCCAATTCTTTCTTGAATGTCTTTGTAAGTTCAAACTCATAATAAACTAATTAGTTATAGTTTTTTATTATCCAATACAAATGTAATACAACTTGATAGAATATACTCATGTGATGTTTAATTCTAATGTATATTTTCCCTTGCACAAATTGCAAATAATCAATTGTATTTCAGATACATTTTACCAATAATGCCTTGAAAAAATCAATAAGAAAATCAAATATGCGATATGTGTTTTCTTAGTGTAGTAGAAAAATTTAGTCTAAAAGTATTATAAAAAGAGGTTCAAATCATCTGGTTCATTAATATTAATATGCAGATTTCCACTTTATCGCTGATCTTAGAATTTATATCGGAATGCACAAAGTGCAATGGGCGCAGGATATGCCAAAGAAGACGGCAACATTTCACCTAAAACAAAATCTGCAATAAAATCGAACTCTTCTTTACCGAGAGTTCGTAGGAGCTTCAAGAGCGGCGGAAACCTTACGACTTCCTTGCAGGATACCAGCCTGCACACTGGTGAGGGAGAATCCTACAGGACTGAAGGAATGAACGAAATGGCTAGTGAAGAACTTAATAAAATCTCTATTGAAATAGAGAAGCGAGGAAATTATAAATTCCCGGAGAAATTGGAGAAGGGAAACCCCGAAATGCTGGGAATATGTGAAGATATATCTGGAAAAAGTGAAATTGAAAAGGCTTTAATAGGAAACGGTAATAAGGAGGAATCGAAAATGGATAATAACGGACATGGAAAAAAAGAATTGGTGATTGATAAAGATGAGGAAAAAATTGGGTTAAAAGTTACGAGTGAATTTAATTCCACACCTCGCCTGAAATCACAAGAAATAATATTCAATCATTCGGAAGATAAAAGTTTCACCCCATCTTCATCAAGTATTGAAGGTGAAAAGAAAAATCGAAAGTCATCTACTGAATTAAAGGAAAACTTGTCCACAAACTTAAATCCCAAAGAAATTTGTAAAGATTTATCTCCACGTCAAGCCAGTTTAAATTCCTTTAAATCTCACCCAGATCCTAAGAAAGAAATCGATTTTCGTTCAGGTAAATCAAATTCAATTGAGGGAGGAACAATCGCGACCGAACATATCGTACCTTCGATAACAGAAGCTCAGCTTTCAAAAGACCAAACAAAATCGAAAAAGGACAGTCGTCGCTTGAAAATGAAGAAAAAAACCAGCATAGACGTGGATTGGTCGAAATTCAAATTTGCATCCTCAGATGGCAATTCAGTCTCACGGAAACCGAGTCAGGATTGCGACGACACTTCAGCCGCGCCATCATGGCACAGGCCCAGCAAAGGCAGTTTTGATCTCGGACGCGTGGCGCTCAGATTTACAAAGCGCAGTTCGACCGACAAAGGAATTGATGGACCGGCTTTAGAGGAGGAACCACCGCCGGCAGAATTAACTCAAGAACAGAAGATTATCATTAAAGAAACATGGGCCATCGTGAAGCAGAACGTCGAGCGAGTGGGAGTCATCATGTTTACTAAGTGAGTCAACATTTTGAATGTGGAGAGAGTGGGAGCCATCATGTTCACTAAGTGAGTCAACATTTTGGATGTGGAGAGAGTGGGAGCCATCATGTTCACTAAGTGAGTCAACATTTTGGATGTGGAGAGAGTGGGAGCCATCATGTTCACTAATGAAATCTGTATCATTGAGATAATTAAATAGTTAAACTTTGTTCTTATGGCAGCAATAAAATTAGCATTACATTTTAAAATTGTTTAAGCGAAGATTCTGTAAACTCGACTATTACGAGGAATTAAATCAGAAAATTTCATGACTTTTGAGTCGTATTTAAACTTTTCAACATTCACTCTGTGTAAGTTCGGGAATGATCAATTGAAGTCAATGTAAGTGAAACAACCAAAATTTTGTATCTAAGTAGTTCGTCAAGGCTTGAATCTTGAAATTAGGGTTTAAATACGCAATTAAAATTATTAATTCCATGTCCAAAATGAGTCTGACAAAATGAAAAATCATCAGTACAAAATTATAATTTCAAAATTGAAAATCAGTATAAAATTTATTATTCCACAATTAAATAAATATGTACAAATTTAATCTAAAAAATTCATTCAAATTTCATTTAAAAAACTCACATGAACTGTTAGCGTAACTTTAATTTAAGGTCGCACAATTCCCGCTCCTATAATGAGAAATGCGTCCTAAAAAATTAATTTAAATTTCATTTAAAAAACTCATATGAACTGTTAGTGTAACTTTAATTTTACGTCACATAATTCCCGCTCCTCTAATGAGAAATGCGTCCGACTTTCCCCGCAGTTTGTTCGAGACGCACCCTGACGTGCAAGAAGTTTTTCTGCCCCTGCGCGGCATGGAGAAAAATGCGCTCCTAGACAACAAAAAACTACGCAACCACGCGCTCAGGTACATGCCGTTATAGCTATTATTTCCACACCAATCTTCCTGTTGAGTTTCATTGATATTAAAAGTACCTCAATAAGGGTTTATAACTTCAGAACACATCTGTTGAAAGTCCTCAGCATTCAGAACTGGCGGAAAGATTTCTCCCTACTTGAATGAAGCCAGCATTCATACTATGGAAGAATACTGCTAAAAGCGTTTTCGGTTAAGGTGAATTAAATTCGTTAATGCTGCACCTCATTTTTGCAAAATTTGGCATGGCCGACAATTTTTTAAAAGCGTAAAAGGAAATTCCAAATTGATGCCGGCTTTCAGCGGTTATTTTTACGTATACCCTCTGCAATTCTGCCTTATTAGGCGATGCTCGCGTTATGAGTCAAGCTTACGTAATACCCCGAATTACCGTTATTTATTTTCTAAATTGCTAGCGTAAATTACCTGGAACGTTTGATGTTGAGTTTTATGGATGAAAATTGCAGGTAATGCTCTGATCAGACATTGGTAAAACTTTTATAGGGAGTGAGAGGCTTCGATTATTCCAGACGAATAATTAATGGCGGCTAAAATCGGTGACGATTCAGTTTGGTATAGAAGTATGGCATAGAATAACTCCATTGAAATGCTGATCTGGATGTTTAGGAAAGATCCTAACGAAAATAAGTGCAACGACACATTATATGTAACATGTACTAGTATATTGACTTTAAAAGGTTTTGCATTGGATAAGTTATTGTATTCGTGATATGAATTAAAAGATGACATGTGACTCGACTTTTGATGATGAAATAGAAAGCTAAGATTCTATAGCTCGCCAATAAATGAATCAATGAAATGAATTATTATTATAAAGCGAATAAATAAAGCCATATCAAGAATATTGAAATTTTGACCAATTTACTATGTCTTGGACGACAACAGATAAAATTCATAAATTATCAGTTTTTTTCTCAAAAATAAAAATGTTCTCATCAGATCGCTTCACCCAAGTGGATACAAATGGCCGTAGTCAGGGTAATTTCCCGCAATTGTTGCAGTCAGCGGGTACCCACTTAGGGCAATTTTCTACAACTACTGCATTCAAAGACTGTCTAATCAGGGCAATTTGCCACTATTGCCTTAATCAGAGATTGCCTCTTTAGCGAATTCCCAGCGATTATGCAAACCGGTTTCCAAGCACAATATTTTGCTGACATGCGCAAGATTTGGTCGCCCTGAACCTAATTTGGACAACATGCGCGTTATCTCGTTGCCATGCGCCTAATTTGGTCACTATGTGCCTAATTTTGACCCCATGCATCTTTATAATCTGGTTGCCATGCGCCTAATTTGGTCACCATGTGCGTAGTATGAACGCGTGCTCCCAATCTGGTCGTCATGCGCCGTCGGTGATCTTGTAATTTGGCTGTAATTGAGGAAGGATTTTCATCCACCAAGCAGGGTTCCTTTCGCAGTCTCGCCGGTGTAGCTAAACTGAAGACTCGTCCATGTTGCAGATTACCACATTGTCTACTCTATATTTTATATAATTTAATAATTAGTGACTTTGTCTAATTTATCTTACAGGTAGCTGGTGCTCACCACCTTTCAATAAAAACCATCCCTTGTCAATAATTAGAACCTTAATCTCAAACATGGTTTCGAGATAAATGCAGTATTTTTTAAGAGAAATTTTATGTCATAATAATATTTAATATTTTACATTCACATAAAACTAAATTTAAGTCACAATCACTTTTTTCCAGACACAGTGTTCTTTTAGGAACTAACATTGATTTATGTTTCTTTAACAATAATCTATGATGCACATCACGAAGAGTTATATAAAGTATATAACTTATCCAGCATTATACACATAAAAGCCAACTATTACCATTTTGTGACAACACAATTTTTTTGTTCCAGCTTTGAAAAAATGTTAGGGATTCTTTTCTGCCAGAACTTGATAATTCATGCACTATTGTAACCCCCACTTGCAGAATTTGTCAACATATTCTTAAATTACTAATATTTCAAGCTTTCAAGCCACTTCTTCCATCGATGTATAGCAATAAATGGCGCTAAAAATATGTTAAATTGGTAATTTTACACCCTATCGACAGCATTATTACTATAAAATAATTGAACAACTTTACATAAACCATCACCTGCTTCCAACTCACCATTCTTCCAATAAATATGAATATAGCTTTCAACTCTTGGTTTTGCCATCATATATTCTAATTAATAGGACTTCCTTCCCCACTTCCTGCCTCGTCATGGATCACAATAAGACTAATAGAGATTACCACACCTTCCTGCACTGACAAGCCAATATTCCTTCCACGACTTACACAGCATTCCTCCCCATCGGTCACCCCATTTCATGATCCGAGTATAACAGCCATCAAACCTCCCCCCACTCCACCATCCAACATACACTGCTTAATATATTGCTTTTCTTTCAGTACACGCAGTACATCAGATAAAATATGTGTAGAGAACAATTAACCATCTTGCTATGTCTGGTCTACCCTGGCTCATGTAACGAGTATTGTAACTAACAAAGTTAATATATCGTTCCGCGACGCTCCGTACAATATACGCTAATAATATACAGCTTGCCCTCGCACACACCGTTCATCATATAACATGATGTATAGGTCTCAACCCCCTCCTTCGTATACACCGTTCATCGGATAACATGATGTATAGGCCACAACTCCCCTCCTTCATATACACCGTTCATCATATAACATGATGTATAGGTCTCAACCCCCTCCTTCATATACACCGTTCATCGGATAACATGATGTATAGGCCACAACTCCCNCGACTAATCAAACTGGTATAAAAATTTTACCGTCACATCCAATGTCTGTCTCTTATACACATCTAGATGTGTATAAGAGACAGCTATAGGCCACAACCCCCTCCATCGTATACACCGTTCATCGTATAACAATAACTATAGGCCACAACCCCCTCCATCGTATACACCGTTCATCGTATAACAATAACTATAGACCACAACCCCCTCCTTCGCACACACCGTTCATCATATAACAAGAACTATAGCCCACAACCCCCCTCCCCCCTGCAGGGTCATGGGGTTCGTGGAGAAGGCTGTCGGGCGGCTGGAGGAGCCTGCGCAGCTGCAGGCGCTGCTGGAGACCTGCGGTCGTAACCACTGCGGCTACGGCGCTGCCCTCCACCACATCGACGTGAGTCCTGCCCAGGAGGTCTGGGGCGATACTTTCAAAACTCGCTAAGTGAACTTAAATATTTACGCTCTATTTTCTTGTCTATGATTGGTGCATTTTGCTTGAAAGGCCGTCAATGATTGGCTGATGAACTTACGATCTCTTAGCTTTTTTTAAAGTATAGGCTTCTTGGTCTGATGCACTGCCAATATGTTACACGAGGGTGTTTAAGTTTATGTACATATATTTGCAGAACTATAATTTACCTAATACTACACGAAGTATTTTTAGATATATTGTCGTTTACTGAAGTGTTACTACATAATCCTATATTATCTATTTAATTTCATATAATTATTTCATAATAATTGTAACCGTGGCAACAGATATTTTCTATATGGCATAAATTACTGAATTACAGTTCATCAATATCGTAATGTATTGAAGTACGGGACGTATTTTTTAAATAAGTAAAGTTTTGACAATAAAAAAAAACAAGCAGTAAATATTTTCCATAAATAATTTATTCGCTTTATAGGTCATACTATGAAGGTCATATATTATAGGTCATACTATTATTATACGTCATACTATTTTTTTCGTAATTCCCAGTAATATTGAGGCATTTATCGGACCTTGGGACCAGCTTTTGGATGCCATCGTCAAAGAAGCTTGACGCCTCATTAGACAATAGGCAACCTTATTTGACAATTTTGTAAAGAACACTTCTTGGAGAAGCAGGAAACTTTTCAGCAATAAGGAAAATATTGTGAATCGTCTCTTATCTATCACTTTAAATTAGACTTTTTGAATCAGATCATCGGTAATGACTGGAGGTCTCCCACTTCGTTCCTATGCATGAATTTTTGTGCGGCCATCTTTGGAGACCCTTACCCATTTCCGCACCATTTGATCATTAGTAATGTTTTTGCCATACATTTCACTGATGAATGTCAACTGATTTGAAGCAGTGAGCACAGTGAAAAGAAAACACTTAGCAGTCGGCGGGATTATCAATAAGTGGAGGTATTTTAAAATCACGAAAATCGACGTAGACTCGAAATTACTGTTTCGTAATGGCGTCTGTGGCTTCGCACCAGACGTTGCTACACGGCGTACTTAAGCTAAATGGTGGCCGCAGAGCTGCAGCGGCTAATTTAAAAACGGCACTTACGTAAAATTGCGCATCATGTAACATCATAATTTGATGTGAAGTATTTCAGACATGCTATCACACATTTTCCATGGAACGAAAGTTTAGTGCAATAATTTTATATGTAATTTTTCGTATTTTATTACAGTTGGTTGGCCCACAGCTGCTGGAAGCGATCAAACCATCACTGGAGGACCGGTGGAGCCCTGAGATATCCACAGCCTGGACGCTGCTCATGGACAACATAGCCTACGCCATGAAGGCTGCCATGAGGCTGCAGATGAGGCAGGCTTAGGCTGGACTATTATCTGCTCATGGACAACATAGCCTACGCCATGAAGGCTGCCATGAGGCTGCAGATGAGGCAGGCTTAGGCTGCACTTTTTTTAATCGGTTAAGAAAGTTGAGATCGACGTACAGGTAACACCTGAGGCATACTCAATCTGTTATACATTAGAGTCAAGATTATGTAACCAAGGATTAAAATACTTTCGCAAATACATGAAGCCGACAATGCTGAGCTTTAACATAATTGAAAAATGATGTATGTTAGAGGTGTGAGCCTAATCAATATTAAGCGCATTTGTGGTGAAGATATAAATATGGACATCATTGAATATGGACTTAGGTCTGAACATTCAAGTCTTGAGATTTACAAAAAAAATCCAAATTTTACGATCAAATTCGTACGAGAGTACTTACACGGTAATCAAATCTCATGCTCAAAGTCTGTGAAGTTGACTCAATTGTTCATTAAATCTAATGAACTATGTTTGAAATGTCGACTGGCTTGATAATTAAATCTCATTACTAAACCCCGTGGAGTTGACTAACTCTCATTGTTTAGTAGTTGAATATGTAGAGTTGACTAACTCATATGATCAAATTTCATGACTAAAAAATAAAAAATTAATTTTGTTCTAGGGCTTCGTTTCTCTGGTGCTCCGTAATTTGCACTCAGTTATTTAATCTCTAGAAATATGCCTTTTTAGTGAAATTTGGCTGTTGATGCTGAATACAGACCTTAAACCTAAAGATTTTTAAAGCCAGTGTCTATCATAAAGCCAGTAAGACGGGCCACTTCTATTTTTCCTTGTAGAATCTGAAGGAATATCATGTAGGGTCGATTGCCCAATCAAATGTGCTGGGGTTAGTGAGATTTTGCCTCAAGTCGACCGTGGACAACGATGATCCACAGTATTATGGTGACAAATGATTCAGAGTATTCAACACAACACTCAACAAATATGCAGTGGAGGTTTGTTTAGTTAGTTTCTTAGTTTTTAGTTTTATTTTGCATTCTGATTTGCAATTTGTTTTTTTCTTTTTTCTTTAAATCGTTAAATTTCATGAAATATTTTTTTAGTATCAATAAATTTTTATTTTTCGGTATTTTTTAGCGATATCGTAAAATTTCTCGAGAGAAAATTTTTCATTGTCAAAAAATTTTAATTAATGAAATATAATAATAATTATGCAAACAATAAGTTAGATTATTATTTATCTATTTCAAATTTTGTTCTAGTTCCAAAATTTTACTCTTGAATATCAGTGAAGTTTCGATTCTAAAATATCATTGAAATTAACTTAAATTTTTCGCATGTACCAAAAAGGTTGTAGCAATTATCGAAAAAGAGATTTTAACCGACAAAGAAAAAATAATTAAATACACGGACATGACTTCAATACCTGGGATCGTATGAGCTAATACACTTCCTATACGTACGCTTGTATGCAGTTGAATGTTGTAGGCCTCTTGTATAAATCGATGTTTCGAAAATACCAGCGTGTTGCACCATACTATTTGTGCTTGTAAACACTAATAAAAACTATTTATGACGATCTATGTTGCGAATTCATTAGGAAAGAAAGAAGTATTTATGTCTGCTCAGATAATTATAGTTCTAGAACTTGCAGTAAATAGTAATCCTATACATTTTCTGTTGGTTCTATTTAGGAAGCTGATGAAATTCAATTCCCAATTTTCATGCATTTTTGATAATTCTATCCCAAGAAACTGTTACTGAAGCAATTAATAGAATATTAGAGAGTAATATATAGAATTTGTAACAAATTTTCCCTCTAGATATCAAACAAGTTGTATAAATATGTGAGCGCTTCTGCCAGTTGGAATATAAACGGGTTGATGAGTAAATCTGAAACGGTGTAAACATTTTAGTTTAATTCTTCTCAAATGATTCAATTCAACTAAGCCTAAAATGGTTAACAATTCAAGATTTAAACGAGGCTGCAATTTGAAAATTCTGTAAATCGCAGTTATTTTTTATTTTAAATTCTAATGCCGAAACTTTATGGAGATTCGTAGTTTACATCAGTGAAATCTGCTCTTAATCCCAAAACTTTGTTGATATCATCAGTAGAGTGAATGATGAAGAAGTTTCTCAGGCGAGTCGCCTTTGTGAAGGCAAGAACGTATCTGTCGTCTTATACTAATGAATAAATGATAGAAATGATCCTCATACAATACACGGATATAATAATACCTTACTATAAATGGTTCGATGTGATCTCGATTATTTAATGCTGAATTTTAGACAGTAATTTATTCAGTGAATTTTTAAAGCGCTTCATGTTCTTGATGTTTAATAAATTGTGATGAGAACAGGTGTTGATTTTTTGTTAGAAGGGAGATAAAATTTTGTCATCATAAAAAATTTCCCCATATTCTAGTATTCACTGAACAAAGAAAAACGCTCTTTGCTTATTCGTTTGCCAGGAACTATGTAGAGATCTTATTTCTATTATAGGGTATTAATTCTCTGACATTCGAGACAAATTAATATTCAAAACAATCAACAAATTTGTAAAAAAAAATTTGGGCTACAGATAAACGCAACTTAAAACTATATTCTCATATATAATGCCACATATTACATTTTTACTGGACTTCTTATAGCTCGTTTCTAGAAAAACATGCACCTATAAAGGTCTTCTCATTTGTGTAATACAGGCCACGAGCGTATACGGAACATTGCCCTCTAGAGGCAATAAAAATTGCTCGGTCAGACTCTAATATTAATGGCAGCTTATTTAAATTCGACAAGGCTAGACAGAAATTCATTCAAGACAAGTCTACGGAACTGTTTTTCTTCTTTAAATCAATACTGCATGGCATCGCGGAATCTATGCTGTGTTTGTCCCTCTCAGGCAGGAATAACATTATCGAATCGGAAAGAATTTGGTTGGTAGGGGCAATGAAGAGTTAATTTATGATTCAAGCAATAATTATATTACTCTGCTTAGTGAGATTCGTCTTTTGATAATCTTTTATTCATATTTGCCTTCAATACAGAAACAAATTTGTTACCGCTCCTATTAGGACTGAAAAAAAAAAACATTAGAATATGCTGTGAAAAATTCTTTGAAATAAATGTCTTGAACGTTGCTAAGGATGACTGGGATGAAAAAGCAAGTATATTGTCTTATAAATGCATACGATATTAAACCTTGTGATAATATGGAAGAGAAATAATTCGTTTAAACACTGTAAGTCGTAATCGAATACGTTAAGCGGTAAATACGTTCAAGAATTTGTAAGTGTGAGATACCTTTGGAAATTAAAAAAATATACTTGGAGGAAAGATGGATGATATCCCTCTCCTATAAAAACATTAAAAAACTTAAATTTATGGTTGAGACCTTGTGCTTTTATTGTATATTTGCTGCCGTTTTACCGAACGCCGAGAGGTAGGAATTTTGAACGCTTAAAGGCGCCGCTGTCAAGCCTGGACAAAAGATATTTTATTTTGTGGATGCAATCTTTTGTGGAGTCTTAAAGACTCCAGGACTTAAGGCTTCTCGTGTCATTCAGTCTTTATTTATTTACCAAGGCAAGCTCATCTGAACAAATTTCGGAATTTAGTCTTTTTTATAACGACTTTAAGGCTCGAGGACGTATTGTCAGCTAATGAACTCTCTAAAGAAAATGGATTGGTTTCAGTGACCCACTTGGATGAGTCAACTACTCTTATGAAAGTTCACAAGGAATTTATAGCAAAGAAAACGCCAAGCAAATTCACCATATTGATATTGAAAACGTTTCGGAGTCCAGCTCCATCATCAGTTCGACATCAGTCGAACTGATGATGGAGCTGGACAATATGCTTGGCATTTTCTCTGCTTTTAAATTCCTTATAAAAATTCACGTTTATTTTTATGAATAATGTCTTTATAAGGTCACACTGATGTAGCCGACACTTATTTATGCTGTTCATCGCTGACTCGAACTGGGTCATGAATACCTAGATCGGGAAGATGCGTCCGAAAATTACGTTCATTTTAGGTAAGCAAAAACATGTCTTGATCAACGTGACCCCTGAAATTAATATGTATTTAGATAGGATTTGCCCATTTTATGCACAATTGGGTCCTCTATCGATCATGGATTTTTAATTATTAACTACTGTAAATATTTCTTCTAAGCGACCAAAGGTTCTTCTCAGAAGATAATTATTACAAATCAAACAGATTTACAAAATCGATAGGAGTAGTTGGCTCGGATCAAAGGTGGATAATCTTGAAATCTTGGATAATCTTCTTTCAAATATTCTTCAAGTGCGGATATTCTTCAAAATAGATAATCTGTCAGGGAGATTTTCTACTTATTCGACATCAGCAGAACAGTCCGTCCGGGTTTCCAACCTTGCATGAGGTTGGGTTAAGTTCGCTCAAGTTCAGTTCCTTTAGCATGTTACGTGAGGTCAAGTTTCACATAATTCATATCTGTGGCTTAAAAATGCACTTGATTAATTGATTTTGTAAATTTTCGAAATTATTCATTTACCCGAAGCTTGGCAGGTTTAATTCATAATTCATTCATGTGGGTGATTTTTACTCATTCATTTTTGGGACTCCAAAAATGAATTCTGACTTATTAATTTTTGTGACTTATTAAATGAAATTAAAAATAAAAATGACTCATTCACCCCATCCTTGGAGTAATCGGACACCTGATTACTCCAAGAATTTACTGATATGACTTTAAGTATTCGATGAAGCATATACGAATGCCCTTAAATTTAATAAAATAAGAGGCGTCAGCTCGACAGCTTGTTTACCAGGAAGTAAAAATTTCGAGAATTTTATACATATCATCTAATTTCAATTCATGGTCACGTAGTAATTTGATTTTGCGTATAGGATTAAATACAAATTTGAGATTTTCCGGTGCACTAAGGGTTTGATGTACGCGGTTGCTAATGATTTTACAATAATGAATATTTAAAAGCTTGTTAGATTTTAAGCTAACACATATTCTATTTATAGGTTGAGCTTTGTCATAATAAAAATAAAAGTAGCGGCAAATAGCAAATAAACAAGTTAGAAATGCATTTTTTGATGCTGTCACTAAAGAAGATACAAATTTGTACATATTCCTCCTTTATCCTTGCAGAAGGGATAACATAAAAAAAGTACAAAACTTCAGGCACAATACCAGGAAGAAACAACACACGTGAAGAGTGTCGCAGATCTCTCGTGATCCCAGGGTTATCCTGTCTACGATATCAGGGCGGAAAATTCCTTACGGCAGGTCCGTATTTCGCCGAGAATTTCCTACGCCAGGCCCGTATTTTCGGTCCCGGATGATAATTTTTATGATAATGTCGGTCCCCGGATGATAATTTTTCTGTCATTATTATTAGAGTTGTCTGAATTGAAAATGCAAGCTGGAAATAAGAAAATTTGT